AAATGTGTGTAACATGCTGCCCCCGTCCCAAAAAATATTAAAATACATAATAATAAACTACAAATCCAGTATCTACGAAGTAAAAGGCCAGGGACATGAAAATGTACGTTTTTAAATTTTCACTCATTTGCTTGGTACTGGTCATCTCAAAATTAAATTAAATACCACTCTTCCGTTAATACTTTCGTGATCGGTGTGAAACCGCACCGTACCTCCCCTTTGATAAATTCATTCAACCGTTTCAATAATTTTCAACTGATATTGTGTAACTCAAGGTCATTTTGATTATATAAAACACAAACAGCAACTGTAAATTGAAAAGTGTAATTATCAAATTCTGTGCAATAAATTCAAATTGTTACTCATTTTATAGTTCTCAATAACCTTGGTAAATCATTATTAGTAGTATTATTCAAACATTGAAATAAAGGTAATTCAGTAAATCATAGGCCACTACAAAAGATTCACCTTTTAAGTGCAACACTAAATAATAGTGTAGTAGTTAGCAAAGTAAATTCAGTGTAGATTAAGATTGGTTATTATTTTGAAATCAAAGGTATTACAGTCTGGAAGAACTTCAAACAGTACCAAGAACGTCCCCTAAGGACCTTTGGGGAGTATTCTTATTTTACAGGGCCCACACAAATATTTCTTTAACATCAAGCTTCCACTGCCAAGCTCTGTTTTGTATTTTTACTTTCCAAGTTCTTCCAACCCAGGGGCAACCAAGATTTGTAAAGAATTCACTTTGAGAGCATTGCAAGGAGTAGATATATTTAAATACAATATTTAAATATATGAGTGAAATAAGCAGGGTTTCTTTATTTTTTCTTTACAAGATTAAGGTATCTACAATCTTCAAATGCTATTGGAAGGAAAGGAAACAGCTCGGCGATGTAGGAAGTGGTGAAGGAAGTAATAAAGGCGAGCAGTTCGGGGTATGGGATCTGTTTATGACCATTAGATTAAGGTATTTGCAATCCTATGATGCTATGGGAAGGGAGGGAAACAGGTCTGTGACATAAGAAGAGGTGAAGGAAGTAGTAAGGTGAGCAGTGTGGAGTGTGGGAACTGGAAACCGTTTGTAGCAGTTAGATTAATGTATCTGCAATGCTGAAATGCTATGAGAAGGGATGGAAGCATGCCCACGACATAGAAAATGGTGAAAGAAGTAGTAAAGGCTAGCAGTGCAGAGTGTGGGGAATGTTTGTGGCAATTAGATTAACGTATCTAAAATACTAAAATTCTATGGAAAGTGATGAAAACAGGTCCGCATTGTAGGAAGTGGCTTAGGAAGTAGTAAAGTATGAGCATAGTGAGAACCGTCTGTGGCAGTTATATTAATGTATCTTCAATCCTAATATGCTATGAGAAGGGAAGGAAACAGGCCCCACAACGTAGGAAGTGGTAAAGGAAGTAGTAAAGGCTGGCAGTGTAGAGTGGGGGAACCATTTGGGCAGTTAGATAAATGTATCTTATACTTAAATGCCATGAGAAGGGAAGGAAACAGTTAATTTAGAAAGTACGTATATTATTGTTTGGTTTTTTGATATTTTAGGTTAGGTCTACTTTTGATTCAATACAATTATATGTTTAATAAACTGTAAAATAAATACATTATTTTAAATCAAAAAGTTTTACATTCCTTGAACAACCGATTTGTTACTATTTTAAGCCTCGTTCGCACTAGTGCAGCACGACACGGATTGGCGGCCATCATGGCATTTGTTTAACATTGAACGTAAGGCGAAAAATTGGAAATTGTAGGCTGTATGTTGCCGGCGTCCCTGGGACTGCCGGCATTTTCCACCATATGTTCAATGTTAAAAAATTGTGTGACGGCTGCCCGTCTGTGCCGTGCCGCCCTAGTGCAAACGAAGCTTTATAAGGTCGTACTGTGAACTTAGTTTAAACAATGTCCTTTACCTTCTGTATCTATACTCTACCAGAATTAATAGTGCCTATGACTATGTCATATTGTTTAGCTCTTGAATTTAAAATACTATCTCAAAGTCGAAAGATTTGCAGTTTTAAAAGTTCCTAATCAAACCATGCATTAATTTATGATCAGCTTTCTTTTGTTTTTAAATAAACTGAATAGTAGTATAATGCCTTTGGTAATTTTTAATTTTTGGATTCAGAATTAGTATTCATACTTTGAAATTTTGAAAGTGGTGGCAGAGAGGAGGGCAAGTGGTAGGGAGGAGGGGGGGGGGCGCGAAAAAACGTCAGCCTACTGGCACTAGAGCCTTAATCAGGCCCTGTTTCCGATTACTGAAAAGAGTAAACTCAAAGACAAGGTAATCAATCACTCCACTCCAGTTATCGAAACTGAAAATGAACGCTCTTGTGTGTATCATGTGTTTACTATTAACAGCTGTAATTAATACAAATTATTAGACTGTTTAAGTAAACAAAATCTTTTCTTCATAAGAAATACATCGGGATTCAAGAATCAAGAATCAAGAATTTTTATTCATCGTTAACGCTATGTACAACACATGCAATGGATGAACGTCATAATAGTAGCCTAAAGTTTACAGGCAATAAGGCTAAATAAATATAGACAATAAAATATAAACAAGTGCAGAGTACATGCAAAAAGTATCACGAGTCATCTTAAAAATAAAATTAAAATACTGAAGTTTATAAAAAACATAGGTATGCAAAGACTAGAGCAAACATGAAAACAGGTGCAATGTGTATACAATACATGCAGTGTGTTTAAAATAAGTTAGAAAAAAACATAGCAGGGGCAAGAAAAGAGTATAAAATTTAAAGACAATACTAACAAACAGACAGATAAATAACTTATAAAACAACTCAGCCCTTGGCTATATCACAGACAGACAGAATTTAAAATTGAATATCAACAGGCAATACAAAGAATTCATCGACCTTGTAGAATGGCCTTGCAACCAACCAATTGTAAACAGACAACTTAAACTTAGTGAAAGACACATTATGTGCAGAAACAGGCAACTTATTAAATAGATTAATATACATGGTGCGATGCTGGGATTGTGATTTACTCAAACGAACATAAGTCTGATTGATTGAGGACATGCTTCTAGTGCAATAACCATGCGCACTACTTCTGAGTGGATACTCATGCAGATGTTGCTTAACATGCAACAGGCAAACATAAATATACTGGTTAATCACTGTCAAAATTCCTTCCCTGACAAAGAGTGGTTTACAGTGTGCTTTAAAAGCTGAGTGTGTGATTATACGCATCGCTTTTTTTTGTAAGCGCAAGACTTTATCAATACTGTGGCCATTCCCCCACAGACGAATGCCATAAGAAATTATTCCATTAAACAAAGCATAATACACATTTTTCAGGTACACTTTAGGGATCAGCTTCTTTAAATGCCACAAAAGAGAAATCACTCTAGATAGTCTGGTACAAACATTCTGTATGTGAGAATCCCATGTAAGTTTGGTGTCAACAGTAATACCTAAGAGCTTAACGACAGAATCTACAACTACATCAGATTGAACATCAAACTGGCACAAGGAAAAACATATTTGTTGGGTTTTATTGGTATTCAAAAGGAGGCCATTTGCTTCAAACCAGATTGTGCCATCTGCCATCACATCAGACATAATGTTACAGAGCTCAGCAATATTGTTACCTGAACAGAAAAAGGTAGTGTCATCAGCAAATATGACTTTGTTACAACTAATATTTACAGGAAGGTCATTAATTAAAACAAGGAACAGAAAAGGGCCCAGAACCGATCCCTGGGGTACACCACTTTTGACTACCGTTACCGGATTTTGATGGGCTGTGGGGCAAAGCCCGAGAACCTTTATTACAGGAATTGGTAAAATACCAGGAATTGGTCTACACAAAAAAATACTTAATTTTGACACATCGTTTATAAAATTCCGTCCATTAGTAACGGAGGAGTAGTGTTTTGTAGAAATCGCATCACGTATTATATATAAGGATTTCGTAATACAATCTGAAACATTGTAAGTGGCATTTCATGCTAAAAATGAATCTATTGAACTGGTTCTATTTTCATAGCTGTCAATGTGAATAAGCGCAGTTTTGGTGAAATGTTGCACGTTTTACCGCTGGCGGCAATACCCGGATTTGGACCAGGGTGGGGATGAGTGGCGGCGTTGCCACATCGAAGGCCGCGGCCTTATACTAGAGACGGCTATCTCTAAGACCATGATCCAAAAGAACAGATTTGTCAAACATGGAGATAGCTCACTTAATAAAATTACTTTTGAATAGGACTGTACCCTTTTTAGCGAATTTCCCATATATGGAATATTAGCAAATTTTCCACTATGGGAACGGGGTTTTATGGGGGTTTTATAGGGTAAAAATAGGTTTTTCCCATTTTTTACCCTAAAAACACAAAATTTTGCCATTTCTTTCCAAACTATTTTGTAGACCTTAAAAAAAATAATAATTTAGTATATTGAAGCTTTATTGAGCGCCTAATGGTTACGAAGTTTAAAATTTTTATGTTATTCTTATGGAGAACAAATCAACTGTTGTAGTTTGCTTGTTTATGAACATATTTTGATCGAATTTCGAAAATACATTAATTTCTTACTAAACTACTAACATTATACAACAACAACACTTTTTTACCCTCCCTGTTGCAGCAAACCTGAGTACTCGTTAAACTAATATTATTTAAATAGGGAATAAATGTGATATGTTTAAAGGAGGCATTTTAGTGTAAATCCAATCAGGCAAATGGAGATTCGCTTAGTCTGCAGGTTTGCTGCGGCGGGGTGTTATAGTGCACACACTTATTATCTGTTGAGAATGTTAAATTATTATTAAATAATGTGTTGTATGTAGGTACAAGGCCACAATCTGAAGGAATTTTTCCTTTTTAGGACAACTGATAATAATTTTTAATTGCATAGATATTTGGATAAATGTAGACAAATTTCAAGATACTCAAACATAAAAATACATATTACACAACCTTACGATATTATTTTCACAATGTGTCTATTTACAGGTTCTCATGATGAATGATTGCTGGGTTGCTAACAAGATTTTGCTACGAATGGCCAGAAAATCATCTTCGATTGGGTCTTCTTCAAAAGATGAACTCAAATGTAAAGGTAATTAATTTAAATAATTTTGTTGCCCATATACACCAAAATGAATAGTCTAACAGTTGGTACTCAGAGCTTTGCAAAAATGAACCTCTTTAAACTCACTCCCTTGTTGCTCCAAACCGAGCATAGGTTAATACAGTTCAACCCTTAGCAGTCGGAAGGCCACTACGTGTGGCCACGTGACCTATGAGTGACCAGTTGTAACATATATACGAAGCGCCGCGCCTGTAGCTCGGCAGGGCCACTCGTAGTGGCCCCCCCCCTTTTCAGGTGTGGCCGCCATTTTTACTACTACTGTTTACGTCTTACACTCAAATTTAAATGCCGTGTGGCGAGCCTTTTAACTCCAAAACACCGATCTTTAACCTAATATATAACTGTAAACATGGTCATCATTCGGATTCAATCATGTACACTCGTATTTAATAACAACTTTATTACTCAAATATTAGAATGTTTATAACAATTTAATTATTTACTAGAGAACCCATGCTGCTCCACAGCGTTAAAATAAATATAATATCCAAGAAATAATCAAATTTATGATTTTTGATTGTGTAATCCATTATCTTGAGCTTAACCATGCTTAACTGATTCAAACGATCAATAGCTCAAATTAAAGCCTATAATTTACTGATTATTTTAAGTCTAAAACATATAAAAACATAATCAATTCTGGATGGAGGGATTGATTTTTAATCATAGAAAACCATTATAAAAAATAATATTTATGTTGGTTGTTCACCTTGTGTTTGCTTGAAACTCGTCCGATTTGAATAACTAATGGTATAAATGAAAGCCGGTATTTCACTGAAGGTTCTTATACCAAAATATATAGGATTATAAAATTATAACTGGTAAAAATAAATCTTAAATTGAAGTAAAATTTCAAAAATTAATCAAATTATGTTTTTTGGTCAAGTAATACAGTAGGTAAATATATGCCGAAGCTTGATGTGAGATATTTGCGTGCATACCTTCAAATTTGAGACCTCAATCATGAAAATCGGTCGGGTAGAAGAGCCAAACGAACTCGGCAAAGAAAAACCAAATTTAACTCCCATAAGAAATACATGAAGAGTAAATTTTGTTTACGTATACACCGAGTGGGATTATAGATACATTTATGCCAATGCTTGATGACAAATCTATACGTACCTTCAATTCGAGACCTCAATCATAAAACGCACGTGTGGCATACAACAGCGGGAATTCAAGCAGCCTGAAAATAAGCTACATTTTACCGCGTGAAAAAACGCCCCTGGTGGTGTAGCCTAAGGGTGCAAGGTGTACTCAAAGGTTGACTTTTTCCCATAAGAATTACATAGAACAAATTTAAAAACAAAAAAACAGCTGTTGATGAAAAGAAAACCAGTAGCTTTTTTGGGAGCAAATATTGATGTTTGTAATATTCAGGAGGTTATAGACCAATGTAAACAGCTAATACGTTTTGTTTTGTTAGAAGAACAGAAAGCCTCGAGTTCAAAGAAGAAATATTGAAAACAGGAGGAGGAGACAATTAATAAGAGATTGTATGCGTATGAGGAGAGTAGGATAAGAGAGTCCTGGTCTAACAGTCAGGAATCCAGATACACACTCACTTGGTGGGGTAAATAATATTTTCCAGTTATGCTATGCAACTTATTTAAAAGTGAAAAAATATGGGAAATTCGCTAAAATACACATGGTGTATTATCATGGAAAGTGAAAAATATACACATGGTGGTAAAGTAAACCTGCCTAATGTCAGATCAAATGAATACATGCAAAAAATGTTTATAGATAACGCTGACAGATCGAGACATTTAAAAACCTTTAGTAGAAACTATAATACTGCCTTAGCTAAGGTAAGCTCCAGTAGTGAGATTAAACCAAACCTTATGTTTTTGTTTTTATTGTTAACGTTTTTGTTACTCGCTCTACTTCAATTGAGAAGAAAAAAGGCAATTGTATTATTTACTTCTTGCTATCACAACAGCAAGGTTACGCTGTCAGTTCCACAAGGAATCTTATACAAAGTTTTTTGACTGGAAGCCACCAAAAATCAGGACATTTCAAGTTCAAGTCAAAAATAAGAAGTTTCAACAACTCATTTGCTATGGTAAGTGTTTAGTCGCAATTCACAACCAAAACAGACCAAAAAAAGATAAGGGCTTTATGTGTATGATTTCAAAGGCCAGGTTCATTACAGAAATGGAACAACACCCACGGAATTGCAGTCACCACAGCCAAGTTTATTTTTATGTGTTTTCTTAAAGGAAAGTATTAATTACCTTGGACACTTGGTGTCATTCAATAAGATTCAAAAATGCCCGAAAAAGGTTGAAGCAGTTACTCAGATGACTGGTCCTAAAAACGTTGACGAGTTAAGACGCTTTCTTGGCTTAGTTTGTTAGTTACATACTATGGAAAATTAATCCCTAACTTGTGAGGTGTTTATGTCGGGTAGGGCACCTATCGTAAACTTACCTCCGATTTGCTCGGACAGCTCGAGTAGTCCAGGGTCTCGCTGACAGTCCTCGTCGCTCGCTTACCACTTCTGGATCTTCGTAGATGTTACTGTCGCGCCGATCTGCTAGTACACAAGTACACACTGTATACCTCGGCACGTCGACGCACCGTACACGAGTTGCTATTAAGGAATACACTAAATATGGTTACTCCTATAACTTGGTGTCAGCACAGCGACGCGCTGACAAGGCCAAGTCGAAGTTAACTACTAGGGCTGATAGATAACTAGGCGAAGATTAGAAAATAAAATAAATACCCAGCTCCTAGGCTTAACAAAAGGTCTCACTTTCCAAAATAAAACAAAAAATAATCTTCTCGGAATTAAAAGAAAACGACGCTAACTCGCGATAAGTAAATAATAAAATAAAATAAAACGTAGAAGGCGCCTATGCCAATTCTTCTTGGCTTTAAGGAAAATAAATAAAAACTCTTGATTAAAAGAAAACAAAAACGTTTTGGATTACTAAAAGTAGGCGTAGGTGACTACGACACTACACTCGCAGCGTCGGCCGTTAAACTACGATATTCTATGAATAACGTAATTCATACGATAAACGTAATTTACGAGTAGGGGTATAACGTATACGCTAGTTATAACCAGTGTACTTACGTATCACGATAGTTCCTGATTCGCCTCTATGTTTCGCACGCCTTCGTCCGGATACTTTACGTTCGCTCGCACAGCCTAAGGAAGGTTGGTGTGCGCGAACCTAACGCTCGCCGCCGACTGTCTCAAGAACTGTCCACTGTCCGCTGGTCTCGGCTTCTCCCCACCACGTCTACGGCAGCGCTTCAAGGTGACAGCGGCCGAGTCTCGAACTAGGAGACCTGCAGTGGACATGTTTGACATTGTTGCCGTCGTGACGAACCGCCGCGATTAATCGTACGTGTATATAATAAAAAATTACCCCTAACAAAATTTGACCATTACACCCCCTTTTTACTTTGGTGAGAAAAAAAAACTAACAAAAAAAAAAACTACCTGCCTGCAGGTGTCAACTCAAACATAAACCGTCTTATCGCGTGCGAGGCGACAACCTTCGCACCCCGCACGGCGCTCGACCCTCGCTTGGTCGAGTAACCTAACTCATCCGACTCGTGGGCGGGGAGAACACTCTCCTCCTGCCTCCTTAACGAAACAAACACTCTCGTAAAACAAAAATAAAAATCTAACCAAAAATAGCTTCTCGCTTAGTAGGATACATAGCTTTAATTCCGCCGATATTCGTCCTTCAAGAACTTTTGCCGGTAGGTGGTCCCATCTTCTCGTTGGAAGCGCACCCGGTACGTCTTGCGAACTCGTTTCCGCCCTCGGTTTCTCCGTGGGTTCCGGGACCTCTGATGAGATTCTTGTGAATCAGTAATTTTCATGGGTCCTTGGGCAGCCGTCGCTGGTCTCTTTACCGCCGATACGCAATCCTCACTATAAGGTCGGGGTTGGCCCCGTGCAACCGGGTCAAAGTCCTCGAATTGGTCGGGACTAGAAATATCCGACAGTATCGGTGAACTAGCTGGAATAGCGTCTACCGGGATTGTGACTTAAAATCCTCTCTCACGATTCACGATTTTACCACGGGGCGGAGAAGCCACCACTTCACTAGAAGACCTAGCGCCCTCGACTGGTTTGCACATTTCCTCTATCTCGTCCATAAGATCATCGGCTGTAAGTGACAGAGCGGGCGACTCACCGCCCACCGCTTCCGGTGACTTCACTTCTTCCGTCTCTTGCGTCACTACTAGCCCTCCGCCGGAAGCTGCCTCCTCTCGACTGAAGATCGGGGCATATTGCGGTGATCCATACGATCTGAAGCTGACCGGGTCTACCGCTACGTCCACCACCTCCGATGACGAGTCGGACGCAGTCACTGTCAACCGGGATAAGTGAGATGGTTGGACACACCCTCCGTACCGAAGATCTTGTTCCCTAGGGACGTTTACTTCCAACAGGTCGAACACTTCGTCCTCCAATCGTCCCCGTCGTAAGGCTGTCGCAACGTCACGACGCCACCACTTTTCATCGACTTGGAGTCTCCCGAATGGCGTCGAAAGCGAAATACAAGAAATACAGGCGCACACAAATATACCCGTTGACTCCGACTTCTCAGGTCGGGGATAATCACTCGGCGTATCTAGAAATCTCCAGCTTCTCTCCTCTAAACAGTCTCCCTGTTCTTCAGCTACCTTCGCTAGGAAAGAGAAAACGATTCCCATCTCTCGACGTCGACTGACTAGTGACGGGTCATATGCGCCGATCGTCGCCGAACCAGGCCTGCAGACCACTATGGCCCAGAGCCCCTTACCATCTTCACCACTTACCAACACAGGAAATAACAACAGCGAGTGCGTTAATACGTCCATTCCCGCCGTTAACGGACGAGTATGCTCAAATCCGCCGTCCGCCCATTCTTGAAAAAAATTCACTGGGAACGCAAACACACTGGGTAGACCAATGTAAAATCGGCTCCGCCTCTCAATCAATCGTAAAAATGTAT